AAAAAAGAAGTGGGCCCAAGATTGAGCCTTGTGGAACGCCTCTGTTAACTGTGACCGGGGGTGATGTTGCTGTGGAAACAGAAACTATTTGTTGCCTGTTTAAAAGAAAGCTGCGTAACAAAGTTAGAGCAGGACCCGTAATGCCATAACGCTCCAGTTTAGTGAAAAGAATGTCATGGTCAATGGTGTCAAATGCTTTTGAAAAATCTATGAAAACAGCAGCAGCAACGTCGCCGCGATCAATGAAAGACTTAATTTTATCTGTTAGACATGCAGTCACAATATTAGTTGATAGGGCAGCACGAAAACCAAACTGAGAGGGGGTGAGTAAGTTGAATTTTTTAAGGTAGCGGGAAAGACGGGTCTCAATAAGTTTTTCTAGAACCTTATCTAAGAAGGAAAGAATAGAAATGAGTCGATAATCATCCATAAAGCGCGCGTCACCTTTTTTGAGTACAGGAACAATTTTTGCTATTTTCCAGGACTGTGGAAATAATCCGGTTTTAAAAATTAAGTTCAATATATAGCAAAGTGGAGGCGCAACAAGTCGACGTACAAGTTTCAAATGGAACCCATGAATACCATCTAAGCCAGGCCCGGTAGTCTTTAATCCTGCAATCGTAGCTTCGATTTCGTCGGAACAAGTAGGAAATAGAAAAAACGATTGGGGGCAACGCAAAAGGTCAGAATAATAAGGGCACGAGGGAAGTTGTGAACATACACCCGAAAAATTATTGCTAAATGCATTAGCAATGTCTGCAGGTTCAGTAAATGATGAGTCGCCCTGAACAATGGATTAGTTCTTTTTTGCACTGTTTTATGCATCTGAGACTCTTGTTTGCGAAAACAAGTGAGTAACATACAATTTCGCTTTCTACGAAAGAGAGGATCAAGCGATGTAGCATGAGCCGAACTGCAGGGGAAGAGTCGCTCAGGCGGGTCTATTGGCGGCCAAGTCTGCCAGCCAGCGCCTCTATTTTTGTTAGAGGAGGCGCTGGCCAGGCTATGTCCGTTTGTGGCAATATCACACCCACCACCTCCTTTACACTCTCAAGCTTCATTGAAGTGTGCGAAGTGAATTTTCTATTCAATACCTCTTTATACATCTTGGCTCAGGAGAGCCTGCTTTTAAAAAAAGTTCACTTGGTTTTAACGCAGTCTCGTGGCCGGCGCTATATACTGACCCACTATTCACACTGAATCCCTTAAATTTGAAACTGCATCCAGGGCGACACCATCGGTGCGTAGTGCGTGACACTCGGCATGTGAAGTGTCGTCCCTTTCGCCGCTCACCAGGGGGTCTCCGGGTGTAATGGCCCGCTGGGTGTTTTATTGTGGCACCATTCTCACCCCGAACCCCACGTCTACATACTCACAGTTGCCCACTCTGTTACGCTCCCCACGGTAGAAAATAACCGAACATTGATTGCTTTGTTTGTTTTCGAATCCCCGAAACGCTCCTGCAATTCAGCTGCAGTCTTTACGGCTATTTGCTATAGGAAGATGGCCATTCAGGGAACGGATGTCTCTTCCCCACTACATAATGGCAGCTGTCTTTATTTTCTTTGCTTCTCCTCGGAGCTCTCACTTTTCGGCATTAAATTGTCGTTTATTTCACGTGTTTTTATGCCACCGTTTTTTTGTGCTCACCGGTATGTAGCTTTGGAAGACTTTGCCGAAGTCCATTCCATGAGTCACACACTTCGAGACTATTGATGATGTACGCTTTTTTTTTTCTTCAGTTGTAAAGCTGACGAAAGAAGGTAGAGAGGTGGTAGTTGTGCTTGAGGGCCACGAAATATCTGATTCGCCAGGCTTCTTCCTCTCCTCAACGGTTCTCTTTTGACTCACGTTTCTTCCTGAATGCATTACCCTAGCAGAACTTTCAACTTTGAAAGAGGATTGTACTACTTCTTTCACCGCTGACAGTGGCATAATAGCCAAATCTTTCCAAACTGCGCAAAAAAGACACTTCTGTGTCATACAATAATCTGTTGTCTTGTAAGGTTGAATCCCTTTAAAAATATTGTGTTGAAAGTTGCTACCACCACTCCGTTCATCTGCTTCCTACAGTCAGACATGTAAAGTATTGGTAAAGCGACTATAAATAAATCAGCTGGGCACAAATGATGCGTAGAGCAACATATAATCAAAGTATCACAAGAAAAACAACCGCAGAAATCAAAGTAACGATCTCCATTAAACAGCTAGTTCCATCCCCTTTGCGTTACCGCTTACATAACTCTCCTCCCCATTACCTATTCCCGGAGAAGAAACAAGAACATTGCAACTAGAAGCGGGTTTCTGTCGATGTGCACGCGTCAGCCGTTTAATGAATGTAGTGAAAGGACACTACTCTGTCGTAACCGCACTTAAAATTGCTCTTGTTTGTATGGCCAGTTCATTAAACATGAATAGCTCAGTGTTCTTCATTGCTGACTCAAAGAACGCGGGTTCAATTCCGGTCGTAGTGGTCACATTGCGATGGAGGTGAGGTCAACGCCTGTGTACTGTTCAATGTCACTGCACGCTAATGAACACCAGACGGTCAAAATTTCTGGTGCAGTCCACTACGACTTCTCTCATAATCATATCTTGGTTTCGGGACTTCAAACCACAAGTGTTATTATTTTATTTTATTTTTCTTCTGCCACAACCATTCGTGGCCATTAGGGCTCTTCTATTCGCCACGTTCATGACATGTACGCTGTACTAAAGCGCCATCTCGACAACGTATGAAATCAGAGTAATAGCACTCCACATGAAACATTCAATAAATGAGTGCAGAGGGCATCTAAGCTAGGACGAAATTTGGCAGTGGCCATAATTGTGAACGCTTGGTCTTTCAAAATTTCGTTAAATAAGAGCTTTATTCAAACGCGTGCTGACACACGCACGCACGCACGGATGCACAAGCACAGACGAGCACACACAGAGACAAACAAACAAAGAACATTCGCGCACACAAATATGCTCGAAGCTTTGTAATATTTAAAATTTTTAGTCTTATTTGGAACACAGCTCTTGTACCTGTGGTTGGCTACTCAAACATTGTGAACACTGAAAATGTTTGCAATTTCAGTAAGCATATGAATTCCGGCTGCAAATTCTTGATATCTGATGTTCGTAAGGTTAGTACTAGTTAGCCGTCACGACCGCCTAATCTTTACGAGTCATAACGTGTCTATCAGAGTACTGTTGAGTCACAATTTCACCAAACGTTCAGGACTAGAACGTGAAGACCACAGACACAAAAATCTTGACTGTGTTGCGCGGAAAAATAGAAGTACAAAAGGAAGACACCTGGACGCAGCGCACACTAACAGCTGAAAGTTTACTGAAAAAAACGGACATATATATGGGGTTACGAGAACACGTGCGGTGAAAGAAAATGATTATATGAGCAGACAGATTGTAATAATGATGCGCAGTGTTGATTGTTATTGATGCTTCAAAAGAAAGAAAGAGTGCCCTCTATGTCAGCGCGTAATTGCACCTGGAAGCGACATCGCACAAGTCAAGGTCTCAGGAACAGTCACTGTCATTCAGTTAAAGAATTGGGACATTTTACCAGTAGCAATTGCATTATAACCTTGCAAATCAGATACTTGAAACGACGCTTTTGACATCTATCAGCGACACAAGTGATATCTTGTCCCGTGGGCAGTTCTGTTTCCCCTTTGACATATTCTTCCCTTCTTCCTATGTACCCTCAATCCATTTAATTTATTACACAGCCATTCCAACTTGTCGTCCGTTCTTGACGTTTCAATCTTAGTTCGTTGAACAGGACGCTTTTTCCGGAGAGTGTATACTACAGCTACGCGAAAGTGCCAGATACGCAATTTTGAGACAGGCCTAGAAGGACACAAACAAAGGCTTGTCCCTTGACGTGCGGCCCTTCCCCAAGTGCCGCCATTGTTGAAAAAAAAACAGCTGCCGACGTCTGTCGTGCGTTACTGATACGTATCGCAGCAGACGATGCTTTTCGTGAAATGAACGTCCACGACGGTTATCGCCACTGGCACCCTGCCGTATACATTACGGTGGGGTGCGCATGGGGTTGACTCTCCTTGTGGTGCTGCAAGCGTGCGTTCTTATGCTAAAAAAACAAATAGTTCGAAGACGAGAAGTTAGTCATGTCGTGCCGAGGCAGCTATGTAGATCGGTGCGACGGGAACGATGTGCTCGGCCGCACGGAATCGCACGAGCAATGAATTGAGCGTGCGTGTACGGTTGGTGCTTTCGTGCCTAATCTGAATATATCGACGCCTGGTATTACGATGAGCTATTCATGGTGGAGATGGCGAACTAGTTCCTGTGAAGCCGCGAAAAGGATCGTCCAGATAGATGCGCGTCTAGAGTACGTGATTTTCGATGGCCGAGATTACTGTAGGAGCAACTATCCTCCTGTCTGGCTTTGAATTCTACATCCTCTTCGTGCCGAAACTTTATTCTCATTTTGAACTTCTTTCCAAACCTTATTTACAATTTTACTTTCTTTGAAAACTGAGGAGCACGGAGTGTACCACCGAAATCACAGTTAATGAAGCACGGAAATGAAAAAAAAAAGTTGGAGAGGAGGGGGATGATTCAAGTTTTGTGGAGGTGAGTGGCATCATGCAACAAGAAAAGAAAGATAGAAAAAAGAACATGTTGGCGTGAATGAAATGGACTGCTACCGGTAACGAAAGATGCCCGTTTTTCTGTTATTCATGGGTTTGATGTAAGTTGTTTTTTCGTTAAGAGGCAGAAAGGAAGATAAAGAAAACAAGATGTTCTCTATTTTGTGAACTTAAAACTGAAAGACACTTAAGTAATGGAAACTTCGTGAAAAATACCATGTGTGCATTCTCTTAGAAATGCACTGCGGTTATTCGCTCCGCTTCAATTGGTGCAAAGAACAACTCCTTTCTTGCAATCTGCATGCATCGCTTTTTCTTCCGGTTATATACATGAATTTTTAGCATTATATGCATGCTCAAAACAAAACCACAACACAAGGGTCATCATTATTATTATTGTCACAAAGTTGGACCATCTTGATCTACGTGTAGCCCGTTTGCTGTTGACTGGCTTCGTACTGGACTATTTTGTGTACTTTGCGTGAGATATCCTTTGAGGGGCGGAGCGCCTTAACATCTTGCAATTTCCATCCATTCGTCATAGCCAACAGCAGATGTAGCGCCTGTGCATGAGACCAAAATACCTATGAACAACAAAAGTGTAATCAAAAAGTTGTTAACGACAGCAAACAAAACAAGAGGCCACGACACAGTAAAAACACTCACATTCAGCCACCCATCAATCAAAACATATGACAGATCAAAATCCTAACAACAACAAAGTTAAAGGTTCTTTAACAGAACAACGTAGATGGTCACAATTCATGATGCGACGTACACTGCTTCGCTCCATCATTAGCATTCATTTTGTGTGTAGGCGTGGATTTTGTGATCCTGTTCCTATATTTGCGTAATATCTCCAATATCAGCTGCCAGTATTACAGGATTCACTAATTAGGCAGTTTCCTCTACCCGGCGAAAGTTTTTGCGTAGCAGGAACATTTCTTTATTATGCGGATGACTAAAATAATATTCAGGTAGACTCATACCGTTACAAAAACAGCATCCTCACGTTCTTGCTCCTGGAGAGTGTTATTTGACTGCCTGAAAAGAAAGAAAACATCCATGGGGTGAATGATCATGAGCAGAACGAAGCATCCGTCCATACGTCTATGTGTCCGGATGGACGAACGGATGAATGGATGCACGGAACGACAGACAGAAGCACTAACGCACAGATGGACACATGGACGGACGCATAGACGGACTCATGGATGGACGCACAGATGAAAGGAAGCACATGAATGGACAGACGAACGAACGAACGCACAAACGGATGAATGGAAGCACGTACAAACAGACAGATTAACGGACACAAGCACGGACCCACGAACGGAGGAACAAATGGATGAACGGAAGCATGAACGGGCGAACGAAAGGAAGCACAGACGGTTGGACACACGGACGGACTCTTCACCCCACTCATCATCATTTACTCCGTGGATAAGCTGTGAAAACCACTGACGCCATCTTGTTAAATTATTCCAAGGAACATGTACACACAACAACACCCACTGAGCAAGTTATAATCTAGAGGTGGCTATAGACTACATACGGAGGAGGGAACGGCCCACGGTCTAAAGAGCTTCGCCCCTAAAAAAAGAAAAAAACTTCATAAGGTATACATACCTAGGCGATCTACAGCGGCGATCTCAAGGGAATTCACGTTATGAGTACATACCAACTTAGCTTTAGCTGCCGCCATTCTCGTTCCACTTCATGGACGAAGATGGATGAGGGATTCGAATGTTGTGGGTTCGGTCATTCCCTGAGATGAGTAATCTTTCCGGTAATTTCGCGTTTTTTTTTTCATGTTTAAAACCTAAGTACAACAAATAGCATTTTTTACAGTTTTTTTTTGCTTTTATGAGTATTGAGAAAGAAGTGAGGAATTATGTGTCTGTAGTATGTAGTTAATCATTTTTACCCACTACTAATCCTAAAAAGCATTACTGCAGGTAGGACCGAACATATAGGCATACAAAGTAAAAAGAAAATCAAAAGAAGAATTATGTCAACTTAACAGTTTTTTCTTTGTAGCAAGCGTAAATGGCAACGTAACGATTGATGCAAAAAATAGCAGCATAACCACGGGGTGAATGATGGAGAGTGGGGCGAAGCATCCGTCCGTTCATTGGTTTTGCTTCCGTCCGTCCATGCGTCTGTCTGTGTGACCGTCCATGCGTCCATCCCTGCGTTCGTTCTTGCATCCACCCCTGCGTCCATCCATGCCTCCATGCGTCCGTGCAGCTATCCGTGTGTCCGTCCATGCATCTGTTTGTGTGTCCGTTCGTCCATCTAGTCAACACTCCAAGTACAACCATCTCGAATCTTTTCATCATATATTCCGCATATAGAAGCACCACCATCCAGCGGACATTCCAACGACTAAACGAGAGGTGGCACACGCACACTTTCTTATGGCTTGCGCTTCGTGTCTACTTCCCACCTTTAACCACCTCGAGTTCATGTTATATACTAGTTCACTGTATTCATGGCACTGCGACCTTACGATCGCTAAACCTTTCTAAAACCAGAGAGGTTACGCCCAGCGAGTATAACGTAGCAACCCTCTCTTGTCAGATGCTGCTCAATGCACATGCCAATGGCTGCTAATGGGGAATGAGAGACAGGAGAATTCAGCTTTTAGTTAACGCGCGCACTGCGAAGTTTTTATTGTTCAACAACGCACAGGAAAAATCTCCCACCAGCACCACTTTGCATTTCAAAACATAAGACATGTTACGCACTACTACAATGGACGAACGGGTGCTGCTTTAAGAAGCTTCGCCCCTAAAATCATAATGCAGAGCAAATGTACAAAAGTTTGAAAGCCAGCTGTAAAAAGAAATGGCAGATGCCACGTACAGTGGGAATCGATGATATGCGAAGCATGAACGAGAAATTTTGATATGACACTTTAAAATCAGCATAACGTTACGAGGGGGAACTAAAAACAGCGCAAAAATATATACAAGGACAGTGGAAGAGACGACACCGAGCTGAACTCGCAACTAAACTTTATTGAAAAATACACGCCCATATATCAAGCATTTGATCCGGTCATGTGGACCACCAAAGGCGTCTGCGCATCAAAGCAAACAAGGTGTGAAACAAGCCTAATCATATTGATAATCAAAACATCGTAACAACCACACGAAAACACAAAAAAACGTGCCTTCCTACTTGCCAAAAACTTACGGAACGGTCCCTAACAAACTAACATACACTTTAACGAAACAGCGCTGAACTCGGGTACCGAACTTCTTTTTCACCAAGGGCCACAGACGGCTTGCTTACACACCTTTCCCCCTTCTTTTCCATGGAAAAAAGCCTCCATCACTTCCCTGGTGCACTTATCTCGATGTCCGAACAAACAAGTGGCTTTATCGGCCAAAGGTTGACAGCCAAACTCCCTACAATGAGTTGGCAGGTGCAACCCGCCGGCGGCGGTTAAAGAGGATAAGTGTTCTTTTAGTGTCACGTTAATGCACCGCCCGGTTTGTCCTATGTAAACCCCTCTGCGTGACAATGGCAACATATATACAACACACGATATACACTAAACATATGTATTTTTTTTCTCTTTTCCGGACAGCACGAGCAGGTCTTTCGTAGACCCGAACTTGCTTTTATGCACGCGGGAGCAAATGGAGGACAGCTTCTTGGGAGCGGACATCACCACGCGTACCCCATACCTACTGGCCACATTTTTCAAGCAATGTCAAAACTTGTGCACGTAGGCTTACCGCAACCGGTTTATTTTCATTACGCACGAGCTCTGTTCTCCTGTGCGTATCACTTACACCTTTGATCCACTTGATTAGATTTTGACAACTCCTCGATATTTCCGTATCAGGGTAGCCCGCCAACTTCAGTCTCTCAAATTGGCTCATGAAACTTTCTTTCAACGCATGCGTGCACGTTTTCAGTAGCGCACTCCGCAGCGCAGCATAAATAATGCCGGACTTGACTATCTTGGAAATGCCTGAGGTGAACGGCAAAATACCCTTTACGGATAGGGGCTTGTACCGCCAACACAAATGTTCCTCGTGAAACCGCATTCTAATATCAAGAAACTGAAGCTCTCCTTTTTCAGGCAGCTCATAGGTGAACTTGAGCGCACGGGCAGAATTCTTAAAAAAGTTTAATATGCCAGCTCTAATGCTATGCTGACTGTAGGTTTTCATCACAATAAGGAAATCATCAACATACCGAAAAATGCGGCAGGACATATTCATCTATTTATCGGCAACGGACCTGTCGACTTGTCCCAGGAAAATATTACTTAAAACGGGTGCCACCCTGGATCCCATACGAACACCAGATTTCTGGACATAAAAGACCCCTTTCCACTCCACACACATTGACCGCAACTAAAACGTCAGCAATTCCAGAAAGCTTTCCAAGGAAACAGTTGCCTAACAATTGCGGTGTTATATATATTCACGGGTATGCACAGGTATCAACGGCTGTGCATTGCCACAGAAATAGCTTGGAACATGCCAGCTTTCTGTGGCGCGTACCGACCGAGTTATTGCAAACAGAATAAATTGTAAGGGCCAGCATAAACATCTCCGCTTGTTAGCGTGGAATGGTTAACGTGGAATGACTTGAATGCACATGACACCAGCGAAAGTTTACTGGACACGAAATGGTAGAGAAATGCCTATTATCATAGTTCAGGGAACATAACCTATAAATAACTGTTCTAATTTGTGGTCGGTACTGTGACCTATACACTCAGCAGCTAAAATAGAAAACCTACGCATGAATAGAGCACGTATCCGCAATAGTTGTGCAGCAAACGTTCCGTAACATTTTGCTGATGTGTTTATTTGCTGCACACCTCACAATCGGTTCTAAACGCATAAACAGTACTTTGCGTGACGCATATGCGTAAGTTATACAGATTCAATATGACCTGTTGGTACGGACTAACGTGGGCGTTTCTTCAGCTTCAAACCCGTATATACCTTGTTAATTGTTACGAAATCGTGCAATTGAAGCAGTTTGACTCAAGAAAGAGAAAAGGAATGACCACTGAGCAAAATTCAGAACAACATAAAACACTTCACATATAATATATACACCAAAACTTTAAAGGCGTCTAATAATCTTACACGCGTAATTTGATCTCACGGGGCTCACAAAGACTTCCGAACAACTTCTGAGACTCACAAATTTTTGAACCACCCTTCTGTCAAGTGCCCTTGCTTTCCTCATGATGAGAACAATGTCAGGCATTTTGTTTACAGTGTATTTTAGGTTTTGTTTAGTTTCAAGTCTTTCCGGTCGCGCAAAAGGAGACGATCTTTCCTGCGCGCTTAGAGGCAGCATCGCTGATTGCATTTTGATTCAATTAGCTGTGGAAGGGAAAGTGCCTGTAACTGCATCATGGCAGGGAGACTACACTGATTCTCATCGCGCTGCGCTATCCTCCAATTTTCAGTTTTTTTTTCTTTTTCGTCTTTTTTGACATACAGAGCGGCAAGAAAAGTTAATTCAATCATTTGTCAGCTTTTTTTTTTTGCTAAATCCCGCTTTTCTTTTTTTATCACTGCAGCAAGCCTAATAAAGGGATTGCTTCTGGCGTGGCCCCAACGGGTCACATTTTACCCCTTTAGGCGGGTGAACTAGACTTCCGAAGACAGTGCTAGTCCCAGGGTGCTTTCACCTCATTAACTCGCATTACGTATTGTGTTCGCCGCGCATTAAGGAAAAGGGCGTATGCGGTATATGTGCTGGCTCAGCACCCGTCCAGCTATTCATCGTCCCACTCTTTCGGTGATTCGCAATGGGTGCATAGCTATTCTCAGTGATTCGGAGCAAGTAACAACCCTTACTCGGTCTTGTTGGGTGACTGATAAGCGATACGAAGCGTTTTGGGAAGCCTGGAGCTGGTGCTGATTCGAAGGTCACGATGCCGTATACACATTGCGTTCTGTTTGTAGGATCAGCAGGAGTTTATCAATTTTTAGACCTAATAAGCATCTGTTATATTTGGTATGCAGGACTACTGAGCCACTTAGTTTGCTATTCCA